AAAAAATGCTGCTCAATCAAAACATCCTCAACTACCTCCATTTTTGTTTTGTTTTTTGGGGGAAAAAGGAGAACTGTGGGATTGTGGGAAGCTGAATGTGAATGTTTCAAAGGAAACGATACTTAAAATGTATAAACTAGGGGGATTTCCATCACTCTCACATCAAATAAATTTCGACGAATTATATTAACAAACGCGTGATTTAGTTTTAGAGCATTCTGCTTTCCTCAGATTAATCACATGATGATGTTGATGTTTTTATTTATGAATATGTTTGTATTTATATTCAAAATGTGCGCTACACTATGTGGGATTTTATATCAGTAAAAGTCCATATTTGACTTAACGTTGTGTCGACTATTGACAAACCCAACTGTTGGGTTAAAAATGGTAAAAAAAATTTTATTAAAATTATTCCAACAATGGGTTGTCCATATATGATGTAACGTCGTTGGGTCGACTATTGATAAACCCGACCATTGGGCTAAAAATGGTAAACAAAATGTATTAAAATTATCCCAACAATGAGTTGTCCATATTTGACAACATTGGTTTGACTATTGACAAACCAAACCGTTGGGTTAAGAATGGTACTTAAAATGAATTAAAATTATGATGAGTTGTCCATATTTGACTTATAAGTGAGTTTGGCAACCCAGCATTTGATTTGTGTGTGTGTGTGTGTGTGTTAATTTAATGCAGATTAATAAAGAAAGCTTTATTTATCTTTATTTTTAATTTAATAGTTACACTTTATTTAACTGTATGTATAGACACAATAATATTAATAAACTTAACCATTGGGCTAACAACGGGAAATAAAATATATTACAATTATCCCAACAATGAGTTGTCTACATTTGACTTAACATTGGATCGACTATTGACAAACCCAATCGTTGTGTTAAAAATGGTAATTAAAATGTATTAAAAATAAAATTATCCAAACAATGGGTTGTCTATATATGACTTAACATTGGGACGAATATGATAAACCCAACCGTTGGGCTAAAAACTGTAAATGTGTTAAAATTATCCCAACAATGAGTTGTCCATATTTGACTTAACATTGAGTTTGGCAACCTAGCATTTGATTTGTGTGTGTTAATTGGATGCAGATGAAAAAAGACAGCTTTATTTATCTTTATTTTTAATTTAATAGTTACACTTTATTTAACAGTCAGTATGGCCACAATAATTACATACTAATCTTACAATTAAATATGAATTTTTCATGAACATATTGCAGAAATGTAATATTTTTATTATTATTATAATGAGTTTGGTATCTTTCATTTCACTCATAAACGTTGTAATAAAACCATTTATTTATCTTGATTTCTAAAGTTTTAACTTTCTAAAGTTTTTTAAGTAAATATTCAAACTAACTAAAAAGGTTAGGTTTATCACGCTTATGCTAATTTTATTACTTATTGAAAGTACTCAAACATCACTGACACCCGTGATACATGTTGGTCATGTTTTGATGCACCCATTTTACATCACAAATGAGAGTAAAAGTCAATGTAATAAAATATGAATTAATACTATAATTTCACAAGGCTTTTCTGTCTTGTTTAATATTTTAAAACTTAAAAGGCCTGATTTTCATTCACTTTCAGTATATCAAATGGAGTGTATTGCACTTTATATTTCGGCTTTTGTGGCAGAAAGAAAAGTCATTAACGTTTAAAATACTGCACTACTGGTCAAAATAGTATGTATCCAAAGTATTTCCTACTTACACTCTAAAATGCTGGGTTGTTGTACCCCTTTGGCATTTAATATGAACAAATCTAACCATTGGGTTAAAAAGTGTATTTGAAAATAAATTTTAAAAATTTACCCAACGTTGGGTTTGTTCATATTTTGCCCAACATCGGATTAAAACAACCCAGAGTCTACCAAAGGGTAAATAAATTTAATCAATAACACAGTAAAAACAGTACAATGATTTTTGAAAAGTCATGTAACACTTATTTTTAATTGTAATAATATTTCAAAAATATTTGTGCTTTAACAGGATTTTTTAATCCAATAAATGCATTTATTGTATACCATAAGTTTAAATTTTGACCATTAAATGACATGACGGCAAGTAAATGTTCAGTTTTGCATCATCTCTACTTTTGAATTGCAGGCAGGATGAATTTACAGTATAATTCAGCAATACTTGATCTTCAAATGCTCTTGTATCAAACTTGTTGGATCTAACACCTGTATTTCTCACGTAGCGTTTGTACATCAAAACTATATGAACTTTTTTTTCCCTAAGCAACCACAGAGTTGAAAGCCCTCCGTCGACACTCATCGCTCTCTCTCTCCTCTCAAGCCCCTCAGAGATCTCCTGTTTTCAAAGAATCGTGTGGTTCGGCTCCCTGTGTCTCGACCTCCGAGGCGCGTGTGTTTTTCCCACATCCTCCCCTCTTCACGACCCTCCAGCAGCCCATGAGCCCCTGCAGACCTCCAGAGAGAGACGAGGCCCAACGAACAAACTCAAAACTCCTACACAGCAGCTTCAGCTTCCAGAGGCCCACACACTCGGGTTTCATTAGAACGCGCAGTGGAAAATAAGCTTGCTTATTCGCCTAAATATTGTGTATTGAAAAAAGTGATGCAAAAAAATGTGTGAATTATGTGCACTTTTGATTGTTCGTCCCGTAGAAACTGCAATCTAAAAAATGCTGGGTTGTCATAACTCCATGTCGAGTCAAATATAGACAACCATTGGGTTAAAAATGATTATTTCAATTGAATTGAAAAACTTTGTCCAAACAATGAGTTGTCCATATTTGACTTAACGTTGAGTGGACTATTGACAAACCCAATCGTTGGGTTAAAACTGATAATTAAAATATATTTAAATTATCCCAACAATGGGTTGACCATATTTGACCTAACGTTGGGTTAAAAATGGTAAATAAAATTAATAAAAAAAAATAAAATAAAATTATCCCAGCAATGGGTTGTCTATAATTTACTTAATGTTGGGTTGACTATTGACAAACCCAATCGTTGGGTTAAAAATGGTAAATAAACTGTATTAAAATTAAAATTATCCCAATAACGAGTTGTCCATACTTGATTAACGTTGGGTTGACTATTGACAAGCCCAATCATTGGGTTAAAAATGGTAATTAAAATGTATTAAAATTAAAAGTATCCCAACAATGGGTTGTCCATAATTGACTTAACATTGGATCAACTATTGACAAACCCGATCGTTGGGTAAAAAATGTTAATTAAAAGGTCAAAAAATTATCTTAACAATGGTTTGCCTATATTTGACTTAACGTTGGGTTGATTATTGACAAACCCAATTTATTTTCCAAATTTTAACTTTAATTTCTTAAGTAGATATTCAAACTGTTTAAAAAAAGGTTAACTTTATTATATATATATATATATATATATATATATATATATATATATATATATATATATATATATATATATATATATATATATATATATATATATATATAAAATAAATAGATAATAAATATTAATATACAGTATTAATGTAGACATTTAGACAGCAGAGCCAAAGTGTAATAACAACCAATAAATTATTGGGTTAAATCTGTATAATTGTACAAAATTGTAAAAAATAAATATACAAATAAATTTAAAATGTAATTTTGTTACATGTAATTAACTATAAATATAACTACACAAGGTTACACACATTAGCAGGCCCCGCTGTGTACTAAGATACGTTTCCCAATATTTAAAACACAATTCAGCCACCTGTCAGCCAAATCTGTCTTTTAATCATTTAAATTGACTCTTGAATAAATCCTACTGTCATACATGTTTCACTTGGCCCACGAACCACCAAAAACATGTCTAAAATATCTGCGATCTATCACCATCAGAAATAAAATAGCATACTTTATCAATGCTTAAAGATTAGGAAGTATTGTTAACACTTTATTTTAAGGTGCCTTTATTGCACATATGCAGTGTATTATTGTGTAATTACAATTAATAATGCATAATTACATGCACCTACACACATTATAAACCTAGAATAGGTTTATGTAATTAATTATTATTCTTTAGTTGTCAGAAAAATGACACAGGAACAAAAACACCTTAAAAAAAAAACAACTAAAGTATTTTGTTTCACCCTTTCTAGCAATAACGTGCTTACAGGCGGAATAATGAAGTGATTTTGGTAGCTTGTTCATCCCTTGCAGTATGTTGAGTATAATTGTGATTTTTTTCATCATGTCTGATATTTATCAGAAGTGTTTTCATATGTGTGTGTTTCAGATTTGGCGCTGTGCCAGCTGTGGTGCTTTGCGGACAGAAGCAGGTGTTTCTCAGGTCACGCAGCTGCGTTTGGGTAAAAGATCATCTTAGGAAATACGTTTAAGATTTAAATTCATTTTAAAATTAAAATAAAACACTTGAGGGACTCCTAAAGTATTGAATGACCAGTATTTTATATCTTTGATTTTTATTTTGTAAAATTGTGAAATTAGTGCTCAAATATTTTTAAAAATCATCCTCGGGTGTTTGGAGATCGTTTGTGTTCACATGTATTGGTTTGATTTCAACTACACTGGTTTTAAAGTCTGTAAACCTCTAATTTCTCTAGAAATCATATTTTTTTAGTCATGCTTTTTATTCAAACAAGGTTACGTCTTTAAAATGTGTTAAAATAACATCATACTTCCAGATGATTAAAGTTGACTCCATTTGCAAATAATCCACTGAACGTGAATAAAAACAAAATCACTAAATAAAGATAAAATTAATCAGAATTTGCCAAAATCAGTTTAAATTCCATCACTTTTCCTGTTCACATAATTAGGCACTTTAACAGAATTCTTCTGTTCAATGTTTTTCAAAAGCTGCTATTTACGTGATAACGAAACTAGAAACATGTATTTTTCCGAAAAAGACTCCTGAAAAACTCCTATTTCACTGATGTTTTATGTATTTGTGTGTTTCCTCTGACTCATTCTCTGATAGGCTGTCAGTAATTGGTTCATTGGCTTCACACACACATACACACACACCGGCCCTCCTTTCAGTGTGACACATGAAGAACAGAAAGAAAACAACAGACACACAGTTGACAGCTCACACACAGACGCCCAAAAATGACCCTGCATTGTGTGTGCTCTTGCTTGTTCATATTGACGGCAGGTAAGAACTTTATTTTGCATTATATCATTATATATTACTTTCAATGAGACCTGAAATTGAACGGCTACAGTGATATAAGCTCTGCATGACGAAGACTCAAATGTAAATCAATAACTGGCAATGTATTATAGCTTCTACTTAAATCCTGTCTTTTATTGGTGTGGCATTCTGTAAATACTGCATTGTCAATTTATATATTTGTATATTGTTTCTAAATATGTTACGATGGACTCTGATGGTGCGCTGTAGGCCTAAAGGTGTTTTCCACTCTAAGTCAAATACAAGATTTACTGCACTTAAAAATACAGGGTATGGAAACTGTATGTTTAATAACTTTGAAATGTAAATGGAAAGTTAATATTTAATACATTTAGAGTAAGTAGTAATAGTTTGTGGTATTGTTTGTTTTTCTCATACTGAGATACGGTAATATATTGTAATATAAGGTGATATATATTTTTGGAGTTCCGACTGATTGATTGTTAGCTACATTCTTAAAAATAAAGGTTGTTTATTGGTTTTAAGAGGAACGTTTAACATCTGTTGAACATTTGGATTCCCCAAAAGAGTTTTTATTTATTTATATATATATATATATATATATATATATATATATATATATATATATATATATATATATATATATATAGTGGGAAAAGGTTATTTATGTTAAGTAATCAAACATTGCTCAACTGTGGCGTCTTTGCAAAAAAAAAAAAATTGTAAAATATTTGTATTTTATATTGGAATCTTTATTTTTAAGAGAGTACAACAATTTTACGTATCTGATCATATAGAAAAGTGTTACGAGTTAGAAAATAATATGTTTATGTGAAGTAACAGATTTATTTGCATCTAACAGGTTTAATTATTCTAAAAAATGTTGTTGTTTTTTTTTTCGAACAAAAAACATATTTTATGTCTGGTTAGTTCTTTTGCTCAGTTAAGTTTCGATAACGATCCACTCTTTCAAACTAATAATCGGATTACAATGGTAGTCAGATTCACTCTCATGTTTTTACAAACTACTTTGTATTCCACACTGAAATGCATATTGTATACTTGCATTGTGATATATTATTTTTCAAACCATATATATCTATACTAATATGCATAAGCGGAGTGAAAAATAAATGAATTAAAACTGAATAGCTTTTAATTTCTTAAACAACCAGGTTCGGAATATATTTATTCCACAGTCATTTCCAAGATGACCATGTGGAGATTCATCGAGCTCAAACTGTGAAAGAACTCTTCATTTTCACACAAGAGTTGACCAGCTGTTGACCCCATTGAAGGTCTTTGGGACGTGCTGGAGTAGACTTTACAGAGTGGTTCTCCAAAGGGTTAGATATAGGAGGCGCTCTTATTGTATATACGAGATCACAAACAAAAAATAATATAAATGAATGTAATTGCAATAAACTGTGACACTGCATGAGGTTGTTGAAAACAATGGCACGATAAATGCACACCACAAAGGTAAAGGACGAAAAACAAAATAGACTGGACAGATTAGATTTTGGCCCCCATGCAAGCGCAGTAAGAACTATAATGCTTAATCCTTTAATATTCCCACGTAAGCCTACAGAACTTCAAAATTTCAAAGCAATTTCAAGGCAAGGCACTGATGAGCCAACTTTGTATAATCTGATTACGACTAAAATCTGGTTCGCTAAAGATTCTTTCTCAACCTCTTTTGGAATTTGAAGCAAAATCTTTTATATTTTTTTCAATTTTTTCTGACTTGTAATAAGAATATGTCAGTGTCAGGACAAAAAATGTGTGCCTTTTCCCCCTAGGCACTTATAAGAAAGGAAAGGTGTTTTGCAAGAGGACACAGACAGCATAGATGATCTACAATAGTGTTCTGTCTCTTCAGGTTTCCATTCTTACAAAACAAAAGGAAATCTTTGACTTCTGCATCTTCAGTCCTCTATGGTCTATTGTTGTCAGCTACAGTAGTTCTGTTACTGTTGTTTTTCTTATCACAGCTTGTAATTCTATTTAAAACACATGTTCCTGCATAGAAAAAAAGTAATGTGAGAGATATGTTCATATTCTTAGAAATAAAAGTTACTGAAATTTATGGTTCCAAGAAGAACCTTTTACATCACTTTCTATTGCACAAATATTCAATGGCATGACTGTTAAAACCACATGGCGTTATTTTGAGTTTGAGTTTATATACTAAAAAAAAAGGGTTTGTTGTTTGTTCAAACTACCTATTTAAAATAAGCTAAACAATACAGTTCTTGAGATTTTTTGACAACTTAATTGTTTTATGTTCAATCCACTTAAATTTGTAAAACACTAATAAGTTAACTGAAGTCCTTCATGTCCTTCAAAATCCGAACAGATAACATCTATACACTATAAAAAAAAGAAAAGTCACAACAACATATGTTTTAATGTTACTTAAACTTTTTTAGTAAGTTAGTCAGGTTTAAACTACTTTTTAGATTATACAAAATGTTAACCAGCCAGTTAAGATGAAGTTACTTGTAAAGTTTATTTGATTCAGCTTAAAAATGTAATGGAGCAATAAATGTTTTACTGTGTATTCATAAAATTTAACGAATATCTAAAATATTGGTAGTCAAAGCCGGACTAATGATTGTTCCCTTGTTTCTCCTAAAGCTTCTATGCTGCCTTCCTTCCAAGCGACGTCAGCTATTCGCTATCCAAAAATCAATGGCTCAGAAAGTCTGAACTGTGACTGCCCAGATCACGCCTGCCAGGAGGTTTTTTGGTACCGATACCTTCAAACGACAAACACTTTTCAGTTCCTAATGTACGTCAATAGCGCCGGCAGAGAGGAGATCGCAGAAAACCTGAACCATTCTCTCAAGGGCACGGTGTCCAATGGACCAAAGGTGTCCTACAACCTGCGCATCGCAGATCTACAGCGAGAAGATGCTGGCTTTTATTCCTGCATGTTTAAAGCCAAAAAGATAATGCCCAGAGGATATTACATAAAGCCTGGAGGTATGCTCTAGTGCCCTTCTATGCTTTCTTCTTGAGTTACAGCACCTGTGATTCTCAAGTAGTCAAAGTGCTAACATGCCCGATCCCGCTTATAGCTTTCTTAATCAGAGGGTATAGGATAGGGTGGTATGGCATAAGATCTTTAATGTATACATTTATTTAACATTTAGGTAGACCTAAATAGCATGGTATTACACTGTAAAAAAACTATTATTAACTTAAAAAAAATAAAGACACTGTAAAAAAAGGCAATTTTAAACCTATTGCTTTTGATGAGATTAGTTGACTTAAAAGTGAGTAAACCTGTTGCTTTTATTGCAATTAGTTGAATCAAAAGGTTAGTAAAATTGCCGCTTTTTTGTGATTGGTTGACTTTACTTTTAAAAAAAAGTGAGTAAACCCATTGGTTTTAGTGAGTTTGGTTTACTTTACTTTTTAAAAAGTAAGAAAAACCATTGCTTTTGATGTGATTGTTTGACTTAAAAGGAAGTAAACCTGTTGCTTTTAATGTGATTGGTTGACTTTACTTTGAAAAAGTGAGTAAAAAAATAGCTTTTAATGCAATTAGTTGACCTAAAAAGTGAGTAAAATTGCCGCTTTTAATGGGATTGGTTGACTTTACTTTTAGAAAAGTGAGTAAACCCATTGCTTTTAATGCGATTAGTTGACTTAAAAAGTAAGTAAACCTGCTGCTGTCAATGCGATTGGTTGACTTTACTTTAAAAAGTGAGTAAAACCACTGCTTTTAATGCAATTAGTTAACTTAAAAAGTGTTTAATCCTGCTGCTTTTAATGCAATTAGTTAGCTTAAAAAGTGTTTAATCCTGCTGCTTTTAATGCAATTGGTTAACTTAAAAAGTGTTTAAACCTGCTGCTTTTAATACGATTAGCTGACTTAAAGAGTGATTAAACCTGCTTCTTTTAATGCAATTAGCTGACTTTACTTAAAAAATTGAGTAAACCATTTTCTTAAAATGTTTATAAAACATATTGTTAAAATGATGTCAGCTTGTTGGCGTAACAGCCCAGTGGTTAGCACACTGACATGATGCAGAAGCGCTCCGGCCGTCCCAAGTTCTAATCCCAGCTCTTGGACCTTTCCCAATCCTACACCCTACCCCCCCCACACCCCTCTCCCACTTCACTTCCTGTCAGACTACTGTCATGTCAAACAAAGTCAAAAATGCCCAAAACAAATCTTTAAAAAAATAATAATAATAATAATGTCAGCTTTAACAGGTTAACTTATTTTTTAGGTAAAGTAACTAATCGCTTTTAAGTGTAATCCTGTTGCCATAAAAGCAACAGGTTGGCTTAAAAATAGTGAGTAAATTAATTGTAACTTAGAATGGTTAAGTTGACTTAATGTTTACAATTCCATCTAATTCGTTTGCTTCATAATTTAAAGCAACAAGTTGTCACTTTTTAAAGAAACTAATTTCATTTTACAGCAGACTTGCTTTGTCCGCTTTTTTGTTAATGAAACAAGTTATTTGCTCACATGAATCACACTAAAGAAACTGATAATATTTTTGTATGAAGTTTATAAGATCTTTAATGGTATTGTTCAATGGAAATGTTTAGGCTGAAGATACCAAAGCAGTGAAACCGAGACACTGAATGCTGGTTTAAAGAGTCATACTGGTAAAATTACACTAGGATTGAGGTTTTCATCCTTGACAGCATCTTTACCTGCAAGGTGGAGGTTTCATTATAACATTTTTTTTTAGGGTGCCTTGAGAATATGTCAAGATCAAGTAACTTAAAATAAGTGACTGATGGGTGTAAAACGGAAAAGCACCATTGTAATTTTTTGTTTTATTTTGCATTAATTTCCAGACATTTCCAACACTAAAACGTAACTGCGCAGTGGAAAATAGAACTAAAACAAAATACTCAACTCGCTAATCATGTAGCGATCTACATTTTCACTGTTTTTACAGACTTATTGTTTTCTCAGAGTGTTTACAAATTCAATGAATTGTTCAAATATGGCCTGAGAATCGTTTAGTTCATTTAGTCTAAGCAATCTTAAACCACCTGTAGGATCTTTAGTCTGAAAAATGTACATTAGTTGACTTGGTTGTAAGGTTTTTGGACACACTGGATGCAAATTTCGTATTTTTTCACAGAAATTTAAAAGCACAGAAATCTGGAGTGCATGAGAGGAAATTATTACTTTTAAATTTGGACTGAACCATTCAATATTTGTATTAGTCTTATGCATGTAATTTTTTTTGTCTTCATTTTATCAGAAAATGTTGTAAATGTAAATTTTTCATACAACAAATGTAAATCTTTGGAATCAGTATCCACAGTTATGTCCTGACGCTCTCTTTTCTTTGTTCTCAGTGAATCCTCCAACACTTCAGCCGCCAACAGTTAAGACAGAGAAACCCAAGAGAACCCCCTGTAATCATTGCAAACCCAACAGGACCACTGAAGGTTTGGATTAAGACATGCTTTTAAATGTTACTGATTTCTTGTTCTTTTAACCTGTACAACACATACACAATCTGATTTTTATGACTTTCTGGTTCCATTTAGACCTACATACCATGGTATGACTGCCTTGTCAAAAGACCTCGTCTTTTTAGCCTATACACGCACACACACACACACACACACACACACACACACACACACACACACACACACACACACACACACACACACACACACACACACACACACACACACACAAACACACACACAAATAAAACGATTATATAAAGATCCTTTTATGAAATTTGTAGGAACAAGAAATCTGAGAATTGCAAGTATTATCAGTTGTATTTAAAGGAATTTAATGAAATTATTTTAATTGCCCAAAATGGTGCAGATTACTAACTAAACAACATACATCACTTTAAATGAAGTGTCATGAATTCAGAAATGAAGTGCTGAATTTCAAGCTGTGTGTGTGTGTGTGTGTGTGTGTGTGTGTGTGTGTGTGTGTGTGTGTGTGTGTGTGTGTGTGTGTGTGTGTGTGTGTGTGTTGTGAATGAGCTAATCAGCAAATTACAACCCCAAAACTGATGTTAGAAAGTGGAAAAAGTGTTATATAGGCTTCATAGATCATTTTTGGCACATTAAAGTAAATAGAAAAGTTCAAATTGACCTGAACAAGAAGTGTGTAACTTTTTATAATGATTGCCTCCTAAAAAAATGAAATAAAAATAATAAAATAAGACAAAAACTGTCTAAAAAGAAATGATGTATATTTTGAGGGTCTTAAAACACATTTTCAAGCATTCATTGCTTATTAAGAGCTATAAAATTTTAGATTTTATTTCAGAATTTTATAGGTCAAAATTGTCCTGACTGTATTTTCAGCATTAATGTTTAGTTTGCTTGTATTTGTGTTTCAGGTTGTGAAAGTTCGGTGCTTTGGCCAGGCATCGGTGCTCTTCTGCTTTTGGCCATTGCTCTTGCGGGCACGCTTTACTACTTCAGTCGTGAGTACACACACAAACGGAGCTTGCAGATGTCTTTGTAGCATGGTACATGAAAGAAAGAGCTTGAGGACTTCAATTTTACCATGCAAGATGTTTAGTCTTTTGAAATTTTCAGATCTCCCATGCATGTACTGTATGCAGAAGTCCATTTCTGAGATACTTTTTTTAGTGCTTATAGTTCAGCTACGGATTAAAAGTTACAAACAATAACAAATTCCAGTTAAATAGACTTAAATAGGATAAAACATTTTAGATAAATTAAATTTGATGTGTACACGCAATAAAACATTTGTTGATGCATTACATTTTTTAAGTTTAATTAAATTAACTTTACAAGTAATTTCAACTTAACTGGCTGGTTAACATTTTGCAAAATCTAAAAAGTAGCTACAAAAGTTAAATCCTGGCTAACTCATTAAAAGTTTCTTAAATAATGCACCATTAAAACATATGCTGTTGACTTTTATGTAAAAAAAATATATTCTATACATTCTTTAATTCAAAGTTTAAAGTGTGTTTGAAAATTGTAGTATTTGTTTTACTATTTTAACTACAACAGTTTCTTCCACATTTAAATAAATCTTTTTTTAAATCATAAAAAGTGGCAGTTTTGTTAATATTCATTTTAAGAGAGCATGACAATGATTTAACTTCATAAAAGTTACAAAATAAATATGAAAAAGTATGAAAAGATTTATTTTTTTCTCTCTCTCTGTTATTATCTGTACAAATCACAATAATTTTAAGTGAAATCTGAAAGAAATGTCATTAGAAACTTTGAAATGAAAAAACAGATTAACATTTTACTCAGGCCAATATCTAATAAATCCATTAAATCCAAAGAAACTGAGGCATTCTCGTTAATATTTCAACTTTGTTTTTTTAAACAGGTTTACCTAAAAAGTGCAGACATCGATTCACCAAGTAAGTAAAAAAATGTTTATCTTTCACCTACATACTAAGATTTCAGTGTTTTCTTTATAAAATTAAACCATTTAGCCCATTTATGTTAGTTTGTGTAGTAAAAAAACATTCATTTAAATAATAATTGGGCCTTTCAAGCACGAAAATGAGCAAACAGAAAGCTTATGGATGTTAGTTAATGCTAATTTTTAGGTTTATTGACTTATTAGACTCAACCTAACTTTGATAACCATACAAACAAAAACATTGTAGACTATTTTGCCAGTATTGTATGCTTTATGAGCATAAGAAAACTTTTTAAGCATTAAAAAAACGAAAATTCACTGTAGTTTTTTTTTCCACAGGACGAATCCATTTCGATGAACAAAAATGAGACTCTTCATTTCCAAACAAAATGTATCTACAATTTTATAAAATAAATCTAATTACCTTAAAATCTATGCTTGTCTTTTAAACTGCATGTATTATATGACTCCTGACCTACAGTAAAAGCTTGCCATTTTTGTTCATTTTTAGGTGGTGGTCTTTTTTCCCTAAAAGTGGGCCTGTAGATACCAAGTATATTATGTTTTAAAATGTATTACGTTTATGTGTGAATTACAAAAACAGCTTCAATCTGCTCTTAGTTCTGTTATTACAGTATTCACCCTCAAAACTGAACTGATCTCACCTTAAACCTGGACTAAACCCAGCTGTTCGTCTTAAGAGACTTTATATATTTTTTTATTTTACTTTTACCATCAGTAATGAAATGTACAGTTTTTCTGATGTTCTTTTTTTCTGTGCTGATATGTTTATTATTCTGCTTCAGATGTTGTTTACAATCGTGTTTTAATTAAACTCTTGTATTTGAGCGTTGTTTATGTGCTTTAGGTGTCTCCCTGTCTTTGTGTGAGGGTGTGCTGGTTTGGGTGCTATCAAGTTTCCCTCTGAGGGTGTGTGTTGCCTTTATGAAACTATACTGAATTATACTGTCTGATCACAGACAAAAATGGTGGTTTGATATTTGCTGTTTTAGTTCAGTCTAACAGGTCATCTATGTACACATGGTGGTAGTCAGTGTTGGGGAAAGTTACTTTTGAAAAGTAATGCATTACTTTTAAGTATATATTGAATATTGAGTTACTCCCCTAAGTAACTAGTTGCCTTTTTATAGTAAGTAATGCGTTATGAGCAATTCCATCCAAATGTCAACCTTGCCATGATAACAAAATTAAATTTTCACCAAAATATCGAAACATTTCTGCGTTTTTTTCTGTAAGCAAATATTTTTCTGTGCTTTAAAAATACTCAAAAAGTCTCTGTCAATGTTTTCAAACTATTATATTTGATTTACACAAGTGCCAATTTCACATCTGTCACATCTATAATGAAGAGACGTCACATCCATAACGGAGCTTTTTCCTCATAAATGAAAATAATGTGAAATAAAGCAAATTATTAATTTTTGTTCTTTAATGAGCCGACTCTTATCCTTTTGATGAGCTTTATTTATTTTGGGTTGTGCCGTTTAATTCACAGAATTACTACAAAGTATGTTGTATACGGTAAACTTGCAGACTTTTTTCATCACATCCATAATTTATGTTTATTTTCCTCATTTAAAATAGAAAAAATGTTTACAGATTAATATTTTCTGCTCCCATAACTCTGTGGTTGTTTGTTTTGGAAAATATAAACAAATGTTTCAATAATGTTAACATATACTTTCTGAATTTATGTTTTAAGATTTTACTGCAAATGTCACATCCATAACGCTGGAATTGCTCTTATGTTACTTTTGTGAGACATTTCCTTAACTTTGCTGAGGCTTAATTTAACGTTAGTCTTATTAGTTAAGTAAAATCATTGTCCATTGAGAAAATACCCTTTTCCTTTTCATCAATGAAAATAATGAACCTATTCTCTCATTGAGTATGTTCATTTTAATTCAGCAATTTATTTTTCAAAAGTTAATCAATTAAATAAAAAGTAACTTATATTACATTTTAAAAAGTAACTCGTATCACTTATTTTTAAAGTAATTTATTACTTTACTCCTTACTTAGAAAAGTAATATTATTATGTAACTCACGTTACTTTTAATACGTTGCCCCAACAATGGTGGTAGTATATCTAATTCTAATTCTAATGGTCTGTCTCTAAAAGTAAGGGGGACGTTTCCCCGTCCCCTCCGGTTGCTACGCCCCTGGTAACGTTAAATATTAACGTTACTTCATTGTATATCTGGGTCTCGACGTGTGGTTTATGTTAGCTCAACTCACCTGTCATCAGTCCTCAGGTAGTTCACTGGTTGCTATTGCCAGGTTACATCTCCATTAACTAAAGATATGCGGGCTTTGTAGCTCCAATAACAGAAAATATTAGTTCATCATCAGTCTCGAGTCCTCGCGTTTCGAGTCTTCATTCAGCAAGTGACTTCACCGTTGATTGACAGTTGATACTGAGGCCGTAAAAAACGTATCCATTTCATACACTTCTCTCAGAAAAAAAGGATGAAATATATACCACCCAGCCTTTCTATATAGCAACTGTCTTCGTTGAAAGTCCCATACGAGCACATTTTCACCATGTTTCACTTTAAACAGCTAATCTTACACTTCATGCTTATTTTGTTTACACAGACGGTTTTGTTTGTCAAAATTGGCTGAATGTGACGGCGCACAGAATATCGGCGTTATGATTGGCCGGAACACCTGTCAATCAAACTGCCGGCGAAGTGGTCAGTTTTTTAAAGTGATGATCACAAATTTTTATGAATTAGCCACTCATTTACTTAAGTATATCGATACACAATATTGATGAATTGTTGTGAGATTGGAAAAGGTAACTGTGACTTATCTCAGAATTCTGTAAAAAAAAAAAAAAAATTCTCACAATTCTGACATTGTTTAACATCACTACTTTCAGGTCTTCCTTGCAATTGCTACTTCCTATTTAACAACCCAGACTTTATTTTGTCTCACTATTTTTTAAGTTAATATTGAATTATTCTGACTTTTATTTGCAATTAAGAGTTTATAATGTTATTAAACTTTTTTCAAAAACTTTTTTCTCACAACTTTGTAGTCTATAGGCTAGGGTGCAAATTACATGGGGTTTAGGGGAGGATTGACCCCCCTAATTAATGCTTGATCCCCCCTGAAGGACATTAAAACAATTTGTATGGGGTACAGTCCTTTAAATAGTAAGACATGTTTTGCATCTTAAATTCTAATTCTAATGAAATAATAGATAATACAAATATACATTTGACCACCCCCCTATAATGGATTATACCATTGTGAATGCATAATATAAGCTGATAGACATGGTAAGCATTTACCAGACACTTTTCTTGTAAAATAGGTGTTTGTTTGTACATAGCCTGAAAGTAAAGTGCAATTAGATGCGTTGTTTGTATACACTCAAAAAAATGATTTGTTGGACTTACATAAAAAAAGAGTGTCAAGTGGTTCCACGTAACTGTGTTGAGTAGTTTCAACAAGTAACAATATAGTTGAATTAACTGAAGAAATTCAGGTAAAGTTTACAAAATATTCCTTAGTACATACAACCCAATTTAGATGTGTCATTATTACATTTTAGTTATATGTATATTTTACTTAGTAATGTTATGTAAAAATTATGAACTTTCAATATGTAAGGTGAACACTTTATTTTCTTTTTTTTATTCACTTTTAAAGTATGTGCTTTACAAGTGTAAAACCTAAATAATCAAACATTTTTAGAAACAAAATTAATTTATTTTTTTGCAAGGTTTTGCAACATACACCTAAAATCCATAAAACAATTTCAATTTCACAGGTCCTTTGAAACAAATTCTTTCAAAGTGTCTTTCAAAGTGTAACTGGCTTTAAGAATTTGAAATCTTAATTTGAAAAATTAAATACATGGAATGTTAAAATACTTATAAACTCTATTTCTGATCTTTACAATGAATAGTAAGAGTAACATTCAAACTGGCCTCGATTTTTGTAAACATCCACAAACGGGTGAAATAGCAGTTTGAAGAGGTATTTTTTATTTTTTTTTAAACACTTTGGTCAATAGTGAACATTCTTACAATGTGCTACTTTCTTCAAATACGAATTTAAAAAAGAAAATGTGCAAGGACATTATTTTTTTCAATACTGTCACGAAACGCTACATTGCTTAATTGCTGATATTTTAAAATGTTTAAGCGATTGTTAAAGTATACAACTGGCCTCTATTTATGACAACCCCCACCAAAATAACATTTCGCTTCAAAAAGACACAAAAAAAAATGTTTATTATTGACCAAAATGTTATTTTACTATGAGCAACTGCAAATAAAGCATTTTACTTGGAAAGAGAAAAGGGAAGTTTAAGGCAGGCAGCATGTCACAAACTGCCAGTGTTCAATTTTGTATATCTGAAATCGCTCGAGCCATTAGTAATGAAAAGATAAAAACTGACCTATAATCTTTGTAAATAACCAAACAATTTAGCCATTTAAAGTTGCAGAACTTCATTTAAAATTTTGGTGCCATCAACAAAGATAACATCACATTAATTTTAAAAACAGAAACAATTTAAATGTCACAAAAAAAGCTTCTTCCTCTATTTCTTTAATTTGTCCAGAATGATGTACTGATTCAGCCAAGTTTGTTCTTGAGTTCTTGAAGTCCCAGCAACACTTTGTGGAAAAATTCAGGTGTATTTCAGGTCTGAAGGATAACTGAGACTCAAGCTGTATATGACTCCCAAAAGAAGAGCACAAGCCTTGGTGACATCGCCAAGGTTCTGAAGCACTTTCACTCCCTCAACAATCAGTCCAACACCTGATGGTGGGTCACAGGCTTCTGCACCTTCAGGTCTGACGATGTAGATTATAAATGAGAGTATTGGCCATGTCTCTCTCTCTCTCTCTCTCTCTCTCTCTCTGAGTTTTTAAAGTCTGTGTAATATAAAACAGAAAAACAGTACCACTGTTAAGTCAGTTTTATTACATCAAAAATACAGATTGTAAATTTAGTGAATTTTGTATCAACTGTCCATTCCTCAATCTTTCACATAACGCACCTGCAGTGACTTACAAAACAACTTTACTGTGTTTGTTAGGGTTAGTCTGTACTTTTGATAACTCCAAGTTAAATATACTTTGTGTATTGATATTCCTTGATTATATTATGTGAATTTATGTGGTGGCATTTTAAACATTCACTGCTTGAAAACACTTACAGTATACTCCTTCATGAGGTTTTCATAATCTTCATTAAGATACAGAGAAAATGCTCTGAGAATGCAAGCTCTCCGAGTTGAGATGGAATCATTCTGTAGAAGAGACATTAAGTATAAACAATGAAAAAACACCATACTAAAGTGGAAATTATTTACAAGCATCTTAAAATACAGTTAACAAACCTCATCAATGGTAGCCATCACTTTTCAAATATTATGCCCTGCAATTCATAAAGGTAAAGTTGGTTTTATACTTGGATATAAAGACATTATATTATTAAGGAGAATTTCAGAAAAGTATTCTTTGCAAATTCTTAATTGGGAAATTATATTAGCAGCAAATGACTATCAAAGTACAACATTGTTCAGATTGAATTAGACCTGTGTTAATGTTGTTTAGAAGTCATACGTGCATGATAAATCTGATCAAATATTGAACGTAACATGGTAAACAATATAGAGACTGCTAAATGATAGAATGTGTGAATATAATTTATAATTTGTTACCTCTTTCTGCAATTCCTATAGAGGTAAAGTTGGTTTTATATTCTCACATTTGTTCATTTAGCAGTCTCTATATTGTTTACCATGTTACGTTGAATATTCGATCAGAATTAGCATGGGAGTATGGCTTGAAAACAACACTAACACTATTTATTTGACTGTGAACAATTTTGTACTTTGATAGAAATTTACTGCTAATATGATTTTGCTATTTAGAGTTTGCAAATAATACTTTTATGAAATTGTATTATTAAGGGGAAAGTCCGAATGTGTGAATATAAAACCAACTTTACCTCTATGCAATTCCTCCTCCTCTACGGGAGATGCTGGCCAGCTTGCTGGAGTAACTATCCAGTTTTGACATGTTTGAATTAGTGGGACAGAAGTGATTCAACAGCAAATTCAGCAGCAATCTGTAGATTTAAGACACAAGATTATAGTAAAGATAGCTTTCATACAAGGCACTGTATCACTGTTTTTTAGGTGGTTATGGATGTTACTAAAATATTTCTGACTCTATATTGCTGCAAGAACACATGGCAATTGAACTTGGCTAGAGTTACATTTGGATGTAACCCTGTGTTCTCATTTGCATGGACAGAGGTAAAGTTGGTTTTATATTCACACATTCGGACTTAATAATAAAATTTCATAAAAGTATTATTTGCAAACCCTAAATAGTGAAATCACATTTGCAGCCAATAACTATCAAAGTACAAAATTTTCACAGTCAAATAAACAATGTTAATTTTTTTTTTAAGTTATACTTGCGTGGTAATTCTGATCAAATAACTCAAAGTAACATGGTAAACAATAGAGACTTCTAAATGAACGAATGTGCAAATATAATACCAAATTTACCTCTATCTAAAATTAAGATGGCTGTGTAGCGCATTCCATGTTTTAAATTTACAGAGAAACTCAGAATAAGTGCATAAAAACGCGACCATAATGTCTATGCACTAATCTAGTCGTGACAGTTATTTTGCAGTCTTTGCACTGCCATGTGCTTTCCTTGAGAAACACGAGTCAGTATAACTAGCTAAAAATGCTAAAACTCAAAAGACTCTGAAATACACTGATAACATAAAATAACATAATTCTGTGAACACTTTTCCTAGCGATATTTAACAGTAAAGAGTTATAAAATACTCTTACCTGACAAAGCCACCATCTTCTACTCCTAAATGTCTGCCTTCCGTTCTGTTCCGGTGCTCCGCCCATAGGTAAGCTACGGTGTCCGCAAATATCCAAACTTAAGAGGGTTTTGCGATTTACTCCACAATGTTAAGTTGTCCAGTCAAACCCTTATTAGGTAAAGCCTACAGTACTCCATTTTTGTAGAAATAACATAGTTAACTTGTGTAAATTGAATTACTTTTATGTTTTATGTAATGTGAACAGGGATGGGTATAGTAAAACTAACAATAGGGAAAGTTCATTTTTTTGAGTGTAGTTTGATCTACGTTGAGCTCTGAAATGGCTAATCACAGGATATTGTAGGTCAGAATACATAAACTATCCCACAAAAAATTGGAAAATAAATATGTTGGATTAATAAAAAAGATGTCACTTAATTTGATTCACTGAAGTGTGTTTTACACAAAATAATATTACTGAAAAAGTTGACCACCCTGATCATCAACGTATAATTCGCACATTATAGGCCTATGGCAATTTTGCCAACTTTAGTTCTTATAATTTGCAATTTAAATATCCTAATTACATTTTTTTGTCTGAAATTTGAGATTACATCTTGACATTTATCTCAGAATTGGTTTTTTGCAATTATTTAGAGTTTTTCTTACAATTAAATTTTATTTCCTCATAATTGCGAGCTGTAAACACACACAAAAAAGGTTTCAAAACTGTAAATTAAACAAAAACAAAATATAAAAAACATTTCTGTGGCAGAAACAAGTATCCATATTTGTTAAAACAGCTAAATAACTAGAAAGGTCACAGTTCCCAAATAAAAAACAACAACTTTTATACATATTTTTATATTTTAATTCTATTATGGGAACCATATAATACACACAGTAATAACACATCTACAAAAATGGCAGAAAAAAAAACTACATAAACAAAACTAGATGATCTACATGACATTGTCCCATACATAACAATCTAAAACAAATAATAATACAAAAGGCCTGTGCCAAATAAACAAAATGTGGCTATGAGAGAAACTAGTGCCATTGACTGAATGTGCAGCTGTTCTTCCTGATACTTTGAGGCAAATGAATAAACCCCTTCCTGTGCAAGAAGACAGAAGATTATCTGTTTCGCATCGCTCCTTCAGCTTTGAGCTCCTCGGCGCAACACTGAAACAAAACCACCACAGAGAAACCACAGACCTTGCCGCACGGAGAGCGTCACAGGCACACAAGACCTCCATTACACTCTACGGTTACAGCATTTCACCATCACTTTAGCACACCTCTTATGTACTTTCACTAATTTACATGGAGAAGAAATCATCATGTGTGTAAGAAAAGAAGCATTGTGATGAAACCCTTTTACTCCTTTATTGATGGGAAGAAAATGAGAGATAAATGTTTGACTAAAAACATTGAAGCATTTTTATTTTGTCAGTGCTGGTGCAATACTGATGCATGCATCAACCGTTAATTTTAACAAAGCCCATTAAACCAGCACAAAACTACATTTGACAAATATTAGAGGTAATTTACAAATTTACAGTTCTTTCAATCTATCAATGTTAATGCAAGGCAAAATAAAAACAAAAAATATGTCTAAAATGTAGCACACATGCTGCTGGTTTAGCAGTTTTGTGGCTGTTTTTGGTAGAATACAGCAAATGTTACCAACACGTTTGTATCTATATATTGATTGTCAAAAATAAAAGGCATATTCATAAATGTTAAAGCATGTTTTTTGTTATTGTTGTTATATTGCAATTAGAAATCCTTTACTTCATATGCATGCATCTAACATTATTTATTTAAGTGAGATGCACAAAATGTGAAAGCACAAAACTACATCTGAGAAATCTTAGAGTAAACTGTGTCATCTTGAGTGTATAGTTACTTTAATCTATCTGTATTAAACACAAAATGTGGCACGTTACTCACAGCAAACATCAAAAAAGTCAATTTTATGTGTTAAACATGCTGTAAAATATATTCATCTACTCACAGATGCAAAGATAGATAAATAAATAAATAAATAAATAAATGTCTTGCACAAAGATATCCAGGGGAACAAAAGGAATGTTCTTATTCTTTGTAGCATCTTTTCTTTGTGTTCTTTCTTCTCTGTGCTGGTGACAAAACTCATGACAGACTGTAACAAGAAATACAATATGGTTAAGGAAGCCTAATGACATAGTTAAAATGTTTAGTTAAATATGCTTTAACAAAATAATTACACCATTTAATTGATTGAATTTAATATTCATACTTTAATATGATGTATAATGTAATATACATATCATAGAAATTTATATAATAGAAATTGATATATCAATATAAGTATATATTGATATAAGTATCTCTATTTTAGTATCACAGTTGATCCACAAAATACAAATTATTTGTCATTATTTTTTTCACAATTTCTATCCAATGTATATAAAATTAGTTTTGTGAGTTTTGGTGGACCTCGTCTTTTTAACCTACACACACACACACACACGCACGCACGCACGCACGCACGCACGCACGCACACACGCACGCACATGCACACACAACCACACTTAAAATTAACTGTATGTATAATTTACATAAAATAAACACACATGTATTTTTGTAAACATCCCAATAAACAGAATCATCAACCTGTGAAACAATACTAAAAATAAAGTCACGCAACTGTATTTCCATTTTAAAAAGTAAGAAAAACAAAAAAACATTAAATTAATTACCATTAATTTTATGAAACTTTCAGCCATCAGCCCTGTATACATAATTATAGAAGACATAAGAGAACTTTCCTATTTTGTCTATATTTGAAGAGTTCAGATGTAAAAACGCCATCTGAAATTTTCTCCTAAAATGAGCATTTTTCTCAGCCTCCTATGTTCATGTTCAAGTATTTCATTTTAAAGGCAATGAGAAGAGCTTATTGGTCATAATAAAAGTAGAATTTCTGAGCCTACACCCAAGAGTCTAAGAAAAATGCTAATATTTAGAGGTTTTTGCATCTCTTCATATAAAGTTACACTGAAATTTCAGGTTGATTCTACCAAAGTTATCTAAAGCATAAGAAAACAAATAACCTCTGAAAAAATAAAACACTTGTAGCAAAGCAACATTCAGACAAACAAACATTCTGTTTACTGCATTGCTGAACACATATGCCTATATTTTATATAAATCTACAGCCTCTGGGTTTAGATTACATCAAATGAACATTTGCAGAAAAAAGTTATTAAATGGCTATTATTATTTGAGCATTCTGATGTCAGAGATGTCAGTAAAGTTGACGAGCGCTCAATATTTCACACAGTATAAAGCAAAAAGAGCTATCACTGGGGTAGCACCTGTTTTGTACATTTTAGGAACTAATATTTACACTTCAGATGCTAATATGAACCTTTAAGCCACCAAAATTGACCCTTAAAAATATCTACTACTTAATAGTTTCCGTACTTTGTGTTTTCCATTTATTTACAGTTGTGAATTGCATTATTGGACCTTAAGCTCTGTTGACTTTTATTGTTAAGAATCTCTACAGTTTAATACTTCAGTAGTTTGAAATAATATAATGTCTAAGAAATAATACAGAGAGAAATGCGTCTGTAAAATAACAGAAAACTTACTGGCAGTTTTTTTAACAAGGTTTTGTATTGTAATACACAACACCAACCCAGACAATATATTACTTTAAACCAGGGATGTTCAAAGTTGGCCTATGGTAACCTTTGATTTGGCCCACCACCCAATCTGAGTAGAGAGGGAGAATAATGGGGATGGTTTATATATTGTCGTTTCAAATTTAATCTAACCTTTAATTATTTTTTTATTGTTAAGCTTAAAAAAAAAGCTAAGAGAAATTAAATATTTTAATGTTTAGTTTAAAACGCATATACTGTCACCCGACGAATAGAGAACAATGCAGAGACTTTGGTGAGCAAATCAAGGCAAAGGCAGATTCTGTTATGAATGTGATTGTTTATGTTTGTATTGCAATAAGTTATAATTAAAAACTTATACTGCAATAGTTAACAGAATTCAAAGCAATGTTTTTTACCTATTTTTAAATATTATGAAATAAATTTTAACTTTATTTTGGCAACTTTACTGTAAAATAGTTTGGTATTTTTACCTTCGGCCCATGGCTCTCAATAATAATAGCTTTTTTGCCATAAAAAAGCTGTTTTAAACTATTAGAAATGTTACTAAAAGTCACTTTTTCGAAAGTTAAAAGTTGTTAGCAGAAAGATCAAAGTCCCATAATGCGAATCAAAAGCATAAATAAACAGGGAAAAATAAATAAATAAATAACAACACATTATATTTTGTCACAAACATGAAAAACTGCTAATTTACAGATATTTTTTTATCGTGTAGATACAAATTTTTAAAGGGGACCACCACAGTGACACCTTTTTTACATTTATTTATAAGACATGATAAATCAAAACTACTTACATCAGTTTAAGAAGTAATCTGATCTCCAGACTGATGGATGCAGGGTCTGAATGGTGCAGCGACTGAAAGGCTGTTTTGACTGGAGTGGGCTGTATGATTTCTAGCTTCATGTAATATTCCTCTGTTGTGGTGTGCTGGAGGATGATGAGCTGGTCTTCTTCCTCTAAGGATTCCCCATGCAGGTAACCCCAGACGTCCCCCTCACCTGGTCTGTGTTTTGGGTCTCTAAGATGGGGTTCTTTCGGTGAGTCAGACAGGGATCCCCAGGTAAGAAATCAGTGGATGATGAGAAATTAGCCAAACTGAGAAAGTGACTCAAAACTGTTGGGGGGCTCATGGAAACTGAAGGTGGACCATCTCTCCGTTTGACTGAAGGTTTTCCTGAACACCCACACCTGCAAGATATAAAAAACACAGAGTCTCCCTGTTATATGTGTGATGTTCACCCACTAGGTCACTTTCATATTATTATTATTTTTTAGGTATTTTGATGCTTTAACTAGTGCATCTTGTAAAACCAACAGGCTACTAGAGTTTATAAAATACATTCAAACATGTGACCCTGGACCACCTAACAGTGTTTGAAAATTAGATTTATACACCACCTGAAAGCTGAATAAATAAGCTCTCCATTGATGTATGGTTTGTTATAGGACATTACTAGTCTGCTAACTATTTGGAAATCTGTAAT